CGCTTTAATGTACAATCAATCAGAGCTCACCAATGGAGACCTGGACCTGGACCTGGAGTCCATTCTTGTCGCGGGAGATGAGCTCTCTCAGTCCGGCTAGGCCAGCTAACGATGACGGCTCAGATTTACAATCTGACAATCTTCCGCCTCCCTTTCTCTGACACAAAAAATAAAAAGAAACCTTAAAAGAAGTGTGTGTGTTGAGTTATCAGTGGCTCTTGACCGAGATCATGGGTTATTTTTAGGAAACGCAGCCTATGGTTGGGGTCATATTCGTGTGTGTGTGTGGCCCGGTTTCAGTTTAGCTGCGTTAGCTCTGCTGTTGCTGCTGCTCATCAACACACACAGCACAAACAACACGTGACCCGCTACGTCACACACACAAAGACTCATACTCTTGTTCCGATTGACTCCTTCCTGAGACTGACAGCAGCTCACAATTATCCAACCCAATCAAAGTTAAGTATGTGAGCGTTTGCGTCAGTAGCTACAGCGAATCACAGGAAACGAGCTTCAAAACAGGCGGTGCCTGTAGATCTGATCCCAGTTCTAATGTTAAAATTGTCTGCGATGCGCTGTCAACACAGTTAAGGCACAAATAACTGATCTGAGACCAGTGGAGATGCCAGACAGCGAGAGCAGCGCCGCTTGCAGGCATAACTGAAAACTGCCTGTCGCTGAGGGAACAAGACCTGACTCATATGTTTTTTTGTTTTTTTTAGTAGGACAAACAGTATATGCACATTGTTTGAATTATATATTTTCGTTTATATAATAGTTGTATTATTATTATTACATAATTTAAAATGATATAATTTGATATTGGAAGGCATAAAGTAATACTAATTATACCATGCCTAAATATCAGCTAGAATAGATTTTAACCACTGATGAATAAATCATTTAATAATAATTAATTTTGACTTATTCCAGCGTGTTATTCTTAGGTGAAATCCATCTAAAACCTGTCCGATCGGCTGTTATACTGAGTGGTAGTTGCATTAAGTCATCCAAACCCAAATGTGGATTTGATCTGGATTTGATCTCTGTGCCAGAGGAGAGTTTGATATTATCTTTAAAGGAAGAGGACAGCCCAGTGAGATCAGCAGTGTGGATGGAGCTGCTGAGCCCTGGCTTAGAGTTAGTATTGGATTCTCACATGACCGGACCAGCACAAGACCAGAGTGGAGAGTCTGAGGGAAGCACTACAGTAATTAAAATTCAGCTATTCACTGGCCCGGTTTCAGTGGGAACACCGTGTGGGATCGTGTTGGAGCAGCTGGAATACGACCTGAATCTGGCAGAGTTTTGGCCACGCAGCGATGCAGGAACCACCTGGGTCTGACACAGTAACATTTACAGTCTCCGATGCCACATCTAAATTTAGAAGAGTCTGACTTTAAGGGAAATTGTTTTCCTTGCTTTCATCAGCTGTCGAATCAACATTAACATACCAAAGTGCAGTGCCTCAAAACTGAGTGTTTGGGCGACATTAGGGATAAAAATGGTATTGAAGACTTTAGGTGACATATTTTAGTCAAGAGACAATGGAGGGGCAGTTGGTGTAAATAATCTTTTGGTCAATATGAAAAAACAGAAAAGAATCTGGTGAAGTTACACTTTAAATAGTGTTCTACAAGAAAGAAGATCTTCATCTTCTGGATCTTCAGCATCACATCATCATTAGCATCAAGACAGAAAAAAAAAGTCAATATCAGGATTTTACTCTTATACAAATTTTATACTGTAATATAACAACCATTCTCCTAAAGATGCACCTATGTTCTACAAAACGTACATCTTTTATTCATGTTTTCCCAACTTTATTCTTACAAATGCACAACTATATTCTTATACACAAATGATTTGTACCTTGTAAACGTTTAATTTTCTTCTCCAGTTTTGAATACGTCTTCCTCAATATGGCCCTTATACCCTGATGGTTGTATTCTCCCTCACCAACGTCCATAGAGAAAATCAATGTTTTTAGTTCACAGACCAGAGTCCATGGAGAAAATCTGGGGTTTTTCCTTGTGAAGTAGCTCCAAAGAGGTGAGATATTTTTACCCTCTACCCTGCAGTTTCTGTGCCCTCTCTTTAACCTTCCCATCTCCTTGTTAAGGAAAAACCTCGACAGCAGTGAAACAGCAAGAATACCAGTCTCTCATGCCATGACGTCAGGCCACCAGTAAAGATGTCAGGCAACCCAACTCTTCCCAGGGGAAATATCAGCTGCTGTTCATAGGAAGTCACATTCTGCTAAGCTTCAGTGAAAAACACCTTCAACCTTTCATGTGTGAAACCACAGGCAGATGAGGGAACCACTGAACCAATGTAGCCTCAGACCTAATGATAAACTGAACTGAGTGTGAAGTGTCAGAGGGATAGAGTGACAGAGGGACAGAGTCAGTACGAAAATAACGCACCAGGTTAATTAACAATACACTTGATTAACAAAACCTAAGTTGGACTTTGAAGCTATTTAAAAATATGTTCCTTCTCTAACAAGAGTTTTTGAAAGGGAAATGACCCTTATAAACCACTCACTCCACCACAGATCAAAGTCCATAGAGAATATCAGTGATTCAGGTCACAGACAGTGAGAACAGTTGATCCACCGCTGTGACTTCACTGCTTAAAATCATTTTGTCCGGAACCGCCTCAGTGGCACAAACGAACCACAGTAGGCAACAGTGGAATTCGAATGGCTTTGAATGCATTTCCCTTGATCTGCGTATTAACACTAGTACGCAGATAGAGAGAAATACAACTCCCTCTGCTGGCCCATCACTATACTGTTTACAGTTTGAGCCTCGACTGCTTCTTTGTACTGCAACAAAGAACTGTAGATGACACACACACACAGAGAGAGAGAGAGAGAGAGAGAGAGAGAAAAGACAAAGGAAAACATGCAATCTTTGTTACAGCAGTTTGAAAAGAAACACAGACGTTATTTGAGTAAAAACATAAGCAGGTTTGGACGTTTTTGCAAAATGAAAAAAGAGTGAACTGAAAAGATAAGACTAAGAAGAAAACAGAAAAAAGAAAGAAAGAAGGAAACAATGGATAAAGACCAGATAGAAACAAGAAAAGGACAAAAAGAGAAAATAAACTGATAAAAGATGAGAAAGGAAGAACATAATAGCAGAAAAAAGAAAGAAAGAAGGAAAAATGAATGAAAGAAAAATAAAGAAACGATATAACAAAGATAGAGAGCCAGGAAGCATCAGAAGCAAGAGCGTTTATTTTCAAGTGGCCACTAGAGGGAACTATTGTATTATTTTTGTCTAAACTCGTATGCACATTTTACGTACGAAAGGAGAATACGTTCGTCACAAAAGTCAATTTAAAAAAGGTCAATTCGGTGTAAAATAAAAAAGAATGATAAAATATTTACATCAAAACAATCTTGAACAAAACACAATTTTTCACTCTATTTTTTGGAATCAGAGTCATCGTCGTTCTGGACAATTTGTTAGTAATGTAATCTGATTAATAAAACAAATTATTCAACAGGATTACTACATTATTTCTGACAGTTTACTTTCATACTGAACACAACTGTCAAACATCCTAACACATCAATGTGCCAAATGGATATTGTTAGGATACAGTAATATTTAGCTGATTTTGATTTGAATGTTCGTCACTAAACCTCATTACACACCAAACCCCAGCGACAGAGACACAGGCGCTGCATGCTGGTCCACTGCTGCTTCCTGTGGTCAGTTTGCATCACTGAGGTATTCAAACAGAGGATATTAACCAGAGACACAAAGTCACAAAATAACACATTCTCTCTTAGCAGTCAACAACTGCTGTGTGTCGCTACAATTTTACAGTTTCTCTCTGAGGTGGAGTCGGGATGTGACACACTCTCTTCTACCGTAAATCACTATCTTAATTTTACCATCACGTTTGCACAGGTGTGTGTAAAGGTTACCAGTGAGCGCCCCTCCATACTTTATCAACACAACCTTCCCACCTCCTGCCCCTGTTTTCCTCCTACAGAGGAGGAGTTGAGGAGCAGGAGAGAAGAAGAGGATTAGTGGCGTTCCTTCATCTGCTGACACACACTGTCTGTAGATCCCTGCTCTGCTGAGTCACCACATCTATGAATACACACACGTGTGTGAACACACACACACACACACACACACACACACAGATGAGGAGCATTTCACCTGCAGCCAGAGACAAGACAAGAGAATCAATCAAATGTATTATTTTCAGGTCACTCTGCAGCGACACCTGCAGACACTTCATACAAACATGTTCTCCAAATGAAAAGATCCCACCTGTGTAGTACTGCAGTACTGTTTAGTAATGTGTAATATTACCTCAGCTTTTGTGCTTTTCCAGTTGCTCTTGTTGTTTCTGGGCTTTTCGTTTCTTGTACTGGGTTATTTCTGCCATCTGCAGTCCATGGGCCATCTGTCTGTGGGAGGAGCAAGTCAAAATAAACTTTTTAAAAAGCCAAATCATGACTAATATCTAGCTGTGATGTAGATAACTTAAAAATGTCCTCCTTGAGTGAGTACATTAAGTTTCTTTACAGTAGTGCAGTAAACAAAAGGAAGCAGAAGAAGAAGAACAGAGTTGTTGGTTCTTACCCACTCTTCAGCTCTGGAGGAACAGGCAGAGGTTTGGTGAATCCATCCCGACCCACGAGCCAGAACGTCTCCTCCACTCCTTTGCCCTGAGGAGCAGGACAAAAGTCAACTTTCAGATTGTCTTCTACAGACGCTCTTGTTAAAATCTTCTCCTAGGTTCTAAACTCAAACCTTGACTTCAGTCCTGCCTCTGAGTTCCAGCTTGTAGCCCATGTTCATGTCCCTCAGGAACTTCGCCGTGCTCTGATGGACGTGGATCCGGTAGGCTGCAAAAAAACAAAAAAGTCCTAGTTAAGAAATATTTAAAAGTCTGGCAAACCAAAGCTCTGAAACCTACGCATTCCCGTGGACTCCATGCGTGAAGCAGTGTTGACCGCGTCTCCAAAGAGACAGTAACGAGGCATGGTCAGACCCACCACACCCGCAACACATGGACCTGCGGCCATTCAACAAGAACACAAATAAAAACATTTGCACTTTAGAATGGGGTCCAACAAGAACAAAACTGGGTTCTACCTAGGTGCTGCTGTACTGTGGCCCACTGGTCAACCTTCACTGGTCCAGACCAGTGTTGGTTTAAAACACAGAACCACCAGCGCGTCCCACCTGTGTGCACTCCAATGCGGATCCTGACAGGAACGTCGGGCATGTGTCTCATCTTGAAGGTTCCTACAGCACTCAGAATGTCCAGAGACATGTTGGCGATTTCTGACACATGTCTGTTACTGTTAGGGACAGGAACCCCAGATGCCACCATGTATGCATCACCGATTGTCTCCACCTGTAGAACTAGCTAAAGTTAGCAACAAGATGGGTACGTTCTGACATCAGTGAGAGTCTCAATTGACCTTGTAGACATCGTGGTTCCCAATGATAGCGTCAAAGAGCGTGTAGAGGTCATTGAGAAGGTCCACCACTTCAATGGGTTCACTGTTCGCTGAGATGGTGGTGAAACCCACGATGTCACTGAAGTACAGCGAGACATTGTCAAAGTACTCGGGTTTGACAGTGCCGCCCACCTTCAGGGCCTCGGCCACAGATCTGAAGAAGAAGAAGAAGGAGGTACATGATACATTTGATCATCTGCAGTTTTACATGTTTGATTTAGAGGTACTTATTAAGTATTTATCTCTAAAACATGTCAGTAGTATATAAATAGAGAGTGTATTGTATTTATTGTAACTGTGTCAAATGTCATAGTGGAAGTAAGATCCAAGAAGACAAAATCCTTAGAAGTATGGCTAGCTCCTTCACAGAAAGTACTACTAAACTCTTGAAACAGTACTATTGATTATTTGCATTGAGACCTTTGGGGGAGTTTGTTTTCCCCAAGACCAAAAAAGTTTTCATAATTCACATGTATGAACAAGGAGAAAATGAAACATGAGCATTCCCGTTTTTCCCGTTTAACTCACGGGGGCAGCATCTGTGTCAGCAGCTTCTCTGTCTTCTGCTTCTCGATCTCCAGCTCCTCTGTTCGCTCTCTGATCAGCTCCTCCAGGTTGGAGGAGTACTGCTCCAACATCCTCAGCATGGAGTCGATGATGTTGGTCTTCTTCCCCTTGTTGATGTCCTTGAACTGAGGTGAGAATAACCCAGACTGACCTTCAGAGGACTAGTCCAGACTCATCAACTGAAAACAGGAAACTTCAGCAGAATCCCAGGTCTACCTGGTCAAAGATGGCCTCAAAGTTGGGCCTCCTCTCTGGCTGCTCGTCCCAGCATTGTTTCATCAGCTGGATGCACTCAAACGGAGCGTAGTCTTGACTGACTACAGGTCGACACAGAGGAGGAGGCCTACGGAGCTTCTCTACGATCTCTACGGCACAGAGGAGCATCGACTCTTGGTTTAACAAAACCTTTCAGTACAGGAGGCTAAGACGGAGAAACCTCGTCCTACCTGTTGCAGGAAGGTCCAGCATGCAGAAAGGAGGTCCTCTGATCACCACTTCCTGAATGATGATAGCAAAGCTGAAGACATCTCCTGGTTGAGTACCATGAAGACCTGGCTGACCACTCCTCAGGATCTCTGGAGCTGTCCACAGTAACTCTGAAACATGAAGATCATAACGGTGATCCGTGTCATAGCTCAGTGGACCTGGTTCCAGGCTTGTTGTTCCCTCACCTTCTGCAGGTGGTTCTTCATAAGGAAACCGTTGAGCCTGCAGAACCTCATTGTAGCCGTAATCTGTGACCTTTAGGACAAAGCGACCATCCACCACACAGTTACGAGACTTCAGGCGAGTGTGACACACACCGCGGTGATGGAGGTATTTCATTCCCTTGATGAGGTCCAGCAGCAGAGAGGACTTGAACATCCAGTCCAGTTTTACATCCTCGTTCAGGAGGAGGTCCTCTAAACTTCCTCTGGAGCAGAACTCGGTAACAATGGCAAAAACACAGCAGTCGTGAAAGAAGCCCAGGAAGGGATTAACGTTCTCGTGACGCATATCCTTCATCTGAAAAAGATGGTTTGATGAGACAGTTTTCTGAGAACGGAATTGACTTTGTGTCACAAGAAGAACATACTGTACCAGTTCAAACACATCACTGGTTTTAGGATTGATTCTGCTGAAGGCTCCATCGGGAAGTCTCTTCAGCCAAGCCCAGTCACCCTGAAGATCAGGAAGATTGAGAAAGAATTTTGGTCAACTACTCCATTTTCCCTTAGTTGCATGAATCAGAAAGAGCTGTAGAGGGCGCTGTCACTGCTCTGTCCATACTAAACTAGCCTGACCTCATAAATAACTACGTTGGAGTTCTCATAGGTGGCAGGGGAGTCTGTGGAGCCTGGTGAGGCCTGGCTGTGCTCTGAAGTGCTCTTCATCTCACTGCTTCTGCTGCTGTAAAGACTCAGCTTCTGTGGACAAACCAGTACAGAACCGTTTTGTCTCCTGCTGGGGTTTTTGGAACATAACATTAAAACAGGAGAAGAAAAGATGACCCTGACCTTGTTACTGAGTGATGGGTTTATGAAGGTAACATCAGTCAGAGTCAACAAGATCTTGTTGGGACCTTTGACTTTTTGAAGCTGATGGATATGTCGTCTGGGAATCAAGTGTCCACAAAGAACACAATGAGTTTCAAATACTACGCTGAGGCTCCAAACCCCAGACTCTTACCAGTACCTGATACAGTAAATCAGCACCACAGCGAAGACAGAGAAACCAGTCGACCAGAGAAACATCCTGATGGTCGTGAACACGTCAACACCTGGAAAAGAAGAGAATATCTCTGCTGAAGGAGACACAGGGGAATACAGGTCATGGAAGAAACTGTTTTGGAGATTCCTCATTTAATTCAGTTCAGTTGACCTTCAGGGATAGGT